GAGAGAGAGAGAGAGAGAGAGAGAGAGAGAGAGAGAGAGAGAGAGAGAGAGAGAGAGAGAGAGAGCCCCACTCTCTCTCTCTCTCTCTCTTTTGACTGCGTGCGTCCGCCGGCCCACTGCAGTCGTAGTGTTTGCCATCGACTTTTTCTCTCATGCGCACTTTGACCCTTCTGCCAAATACGCATGAAGGTATGCATGGGAAATAACACTTGTCAGTTTGTGGTCAATGCAGTGATGGTCATGATTACGATCAGCAGAAAGCAGGATTGTCATTGATGGACAACTGGAGCTCAGTGTCAAAGACTGCAGAGTGCACTTTGACCCTTAATGCACCGTTTGTTAGATCTTCAAAAGAATGATGCATCCAATTGTAGAGAAATAGGCATGAAAACAGCTGCAATCAGCATGTTGAGGGGTCTGGGAAGCATGATTGAGGGAACCTTCCCAGAAGAGGGGGATCGGTCGAAGCAAGCCGCGCATCATAAATCGAGCGTGCTGGTTGAGGATATGCCCATAGCAGGACCTGTGTGTGACAGGACCAATAACAGTGTTGGCAGGGACAGGAGTAATGGGACTGCATGTGCTTATTTCCTATCTTCATTACCATGGCGCTTTGCCTATCGTTTTGGTTTTGAAAGGCAATGCACGTGGTCGTGAGCATGATGGGACTGCGTTTTGCTCAGTCAAGGCAGTAGCTCTTGGAATGAAGCATGGGAATGCACGGGAACCTTTTGATCTCACACCTGTTGTAATTTCAACTCATGCCCAGGTCTCATGTTGGTTTCGTGCATGTGTTTTTTGAACTTCGATGTCATGGAAAAGCATGACTGCGGCTGAACTCTAGAATGATTAACTATTTCTTTTGGCATAATGTCTCTCTTTTGACTGACGTGTGTGCAGTGCAAATCGAGGGGACAGCTCTGACAAGGTTATTCTTAGGGAGAACGAGTACACGAACGACTTTATTATACTGGTATGCAATCATTTGAAGGCGTAACCCTACAACGGAAGAGAAAATTTTATATCAACATTTTATATCAGCTTAACACGCAATATGCTGTTGCGGTCTAGCAGAAATGATTGTAGCATGCTCCTGCCTGTTCGATAACGGTGCAAAGTCCAGGATTATGCTGGGATCGTTTTTGTAAGATCATGGTCAGGTTCCCAGTGGACCCAGGCTTACCTGGGCCAACCAGCTGTTTCGTATGCCATGCACACTCATAAAAAAGAACACCTAGACCCTTTCAAGAACAGTTCCATGTGCTCATCATGCTGCATGGCACTGGGCAAAAGGGCCTGATATGGCATTCACCTGTTGACTTTCCCGAAAGGAAACAGAGAGAGATCGGTGCTTTGCGTCTACTCGAGTGTGATTTTTTTCCCTTAAAGGGCTGTGGACTCTGTGGAGTGCCAACCATTCTGGTCTTCACCCAGTGTTTGGTCAGACTGCCGATGTTTCTGGATTCTCATTTAGAGTGTTGGTGGACTTGGCATCACGCGTATCAAGTGGTTTTTCTTTTGCCTTGTTATAATTCAAAGGAATAGTGTACTCTTTCCGTGTCTGTTGTATGCGCGCGGGCCAACCAGTCAAGTGGGGATGGAACCTGTGATTGTCGCCCTTCAATTGTTTCATTAAAAGAGGACCTGTTTGTTGTAAGGCTTTCCCTCTGCACCGGGATGGTCTTGCAAGTAGATCCCTGGCAATAGGGGTGCAAAAATCAACTGAACCAAAGCGCACTAATGAGTTGCAGCGGAACGTTTTTTCGATTGTATTACATTTGTGAAAGATTTCCTGTGATTTCTTGGATGGATCAACTCGGCTGACCAAGCCCATGGGAGCCTTTTGCCGAGCTGAAGAAACTGCCTGTTAAAAAAGTAACAAAAGAAATGTTTACTTATGTAGACAGACAAAAGTGTTTGTTGGTGTAGAAAAGATTGGAAGGGTGATATTTCCTAGGCCGCCAAATTCACAGCACTAAGGTTGTGGTATATTTGGTTGCTGCGGCTTTGTCAAGGTGTATGTATTTTCATGGCGGGCGACTACTCGAGAAAGGGGCATATCGGGGGTCGGAGTTGTTTGCGGAGACCGGTCCTTTGCATTTTTGCAGGGACCTTCAGCTATCTGGTACCTTTACCTTTGGAATTCAAAGGTTCAGTTCTACCTTTCGATTGGAGGCCCAGTAAGTGGCCCGAAGTCTTGGGTGGGCGGAATTTTTTAGGTCGCCTGATCTTGAAGGTCTAATGGTGGCTAATAGGCTTGGCCACAGGCGGTCGGTGGCTTGGCATTTTTTTGTGATCAGAATAATAGTTGAGAAAAACTGAAAAAACTCAGGAACAAATATTGAGTAATGAACTTCCCAAAACAAATAAATGAAAAAAAAGCTAAATTCCTCCATGGCAAAAAAAATGATGGCAGTGAAAGAAGGCATCTTTTTCTCCCTACTCCCAACCGTAGGCCGCCACTATTTTGGGTCAATGGGCCAGGCTCTGAATTCACAGCCCTAAGGCTGCAGTAGAGTGGGTTCCCATGTCTGTCTCAAGGTGGTATGAATTTTCACGGCAGGCGACTGCCCAAAAACGGGTATAGCAGGGGTGGAAGTTTTATGATGACTGGCTGTTCGCTTTTTTGTGGAACGCAGTTGTCAGGATTTCAAAGGGAGGGCCCAAGACAAGTGTGCTACGGTGTAGGCAGGTGTGGGAAATGTCCGCCGCTTGTGCCTATGAATTTGCCAGAGTTTTTTGCATACTTGCACTGCCCGTTTGTGTTTGAGTAGTCTGCATCCGGGAAGGGTCCTTCCCCCCCCCCCCCCCCCCCCCCCCCCCCCC